GAGTCCCCGAGATCACATTGCCGGCGGTTAGAGACATTGAGTGATACGGCAGAGTGTCGCAAACAGTGGCGCTTGTGTATCTACACCTTATTCTTGCACCCCCCAATCTGTATGAATTCTCTGTGACTCTACTCTCAACATTCCAATCTTCGTTCTGCTCTTTTATTCATATGGGCAGCCAAAAAACGGCACGAAAGTGCATGATCAATGGCGAGAAACAATGAATTGTCATCAACAGATATGGAGCATACACCTGACTTAAATTAGTTACTCCGGTGACTTCATACACACGCACCAGTATTGATACAATATGCCTCGTTATTCATTAGAAATCTCCTCGACAAGCTCTTCGATCGGAAAACCATTTCGGTTTGTGTTCATTCATCAAAATCAAGTGTTATCAATCGGTCGGTTTGGCAAAATTTGTGTTTTACTGGAACCCATCTGTAGACATCTTGCACACAATGAAGACTGTATTCAAGGGCCGAGATTTGATCACTCGAAAGCAGTCCCAATCAACACGGAGGGTATCACACAGAATGTGATTGCGCATTGCACACCATAGTACTTTAATTGCATACCTACATATACATTATAACATTTTTCTAGATAACACTTAGGCTAATCTTTACACAAAACCTATTCTGGATTGGCCCATTCAACGATCAGACCGAAAACCAAGGATAGAACACAGCAAAGAAAAAAAACAAGTTGATGACTGCACAAACCGGAACTGAGCGCGTCGTAGTTTACGAAAGCGGACGGATACGTGGTAAATTAAATTAACGCCGATTTTAGCATGGCTTGAAGATGAATATGTATTTTATTCCGGCTGACGAGAATAGACAGACGTGATGGGAAACGGACAGTGATGAGGAGACAAAGGGGAATGGAAGGCAAACATTGTTTGACTCTCCTCTCCCAAACACCAATCCTATCAATCTAAGAGACATTCAATGGGTTACCCGAGCTCTTGGTCACCACTTCCAGTGATGAGCGGACCGTATTTCGCCTAAATCCTAATCGCCGGAACGGACGGACTTGGCAATCCATGGAGCTGGAACTGTAGCTATGAATGGGAGATCAACCGGGGTTAGATGGGAATCGATGACGAGTCGGACAAACGGATCACAAACTCGGATGTTTGCCTCGGATGTAACATATCACAGAAATGTAGATGAAGACCGACCGGTAAACGCGCACGTGAGTGTGCACAAACTGTGGGAACGCTGAACAGGTGTGTGCGTGCGGTATGGCCTATCCATGGCGGTGGGGTTGAGAATTTGGTTCACATGCAAGCAAAAAATGAAACAAGTTTTAAGAACCACTGGGGCCACTGGAAACCGAGAACGTACTGACAGGGGCCAGTTAAAATTGACTGATGAAACACTGGTGGTAGTCTGCAATTTGTGATCCGAATGAAGTGAAAAGCGGTGCGCAAAGGAGCCCGGACGCAGTACGTATGGCCCGGGGAGGTGGTGGTGAGACGCACATACAATGAGAACGGGAGAAAAGTGGGGTTCATAGGATGAACACGAATAGATAAATACTTCAAACAAAGTCCATCTTTTTACTTGAAAAAAAACAAGGGAGGAGGAGGACAGAAAAAGAGGCTCCAGGGCGGGGGGGATTGAAGGGCGAGCAGAAAAACGATGAGTTGGAAAAACTAATTTTATCACACAAGAGAAAGAGAGAGAGAACAAGAGCGATACAGCATAACGGTAAACACATGGCCCGTGTTGACCATGGGTCTCTCTCAGTTAACAGGTTCGACTTGTCAACAATGGTCCGTATCATCGGTCTGACTGAAAACAGTAACAGACGTGCTGTGGTCCGACAATTTGATTCAGTCAATTTGTTCCAGGTGAGATTTATTCGACCTTCACGACCGAGTAGATTTTGCGTACGAACCACAAACACGCAATATAGCCAATTGTTCCTGTGAAAGTGAAGAATTACACACAATCGGGTGGTCAGGGATAGGTAATCACAAGGAGATTGTTAGAGGCTGTTTTACAAACTACGCAAATACAAATTCTGGTCATTCAGACGAAATGAAGAAAAAGTTAAACAGAGAGAACGTACTGTTCATACTGTCAAATCAGTAGTTCGTTTGGCCAGCCCACAAGAACGTCGGACTGGTCGGAGAATAAAAACACGAAAGTGTTATCTCAGATATCGTCTTCGATGTAACTGAACGACCGTTGGTGAAAAGAGAGCGACTTGGTCGGCTACAGATCTTCACTCAACCAGAAATGTGTAAGTGCACTGACCGCAATACGCTATCCTACTGAGGCATTCCTTTGTGAAGAAGCCAACCTGAAGGGTACTCGTTGTCGACTGAGTCCAAAATCTACATTGAGATCAAGGTGCATTGCTATCGTTAGTCGATGGTATGTACCACGGAATGCGGGAACTTATAGCGATGTAAACATTTGATCAATACACTCACGACCTGGTCGGAATCCTGCATACTGTTCAAGGATATTTGTTTCGCTCAAATTTGTCGGGTAGTAAAGTATTATGGAAGCTACTGAAGTTTTGGTGACCATAGAAATTGAACTCATACCCAGATAGTCTTCGCAACAATTGTGTAATCCCTTTTGATAGCAGAAACGATCAATGGTTCGCCATAGGGTGCTTCTTCAACGAGATGTGTTGTAGTAAATACTAATGGCACATCTAGAGGAATCACCTATATTAAAAAAATGGTGAAAGCCTATCAGAATTAGCTTTTTTTGCTCAGTGCTTGAACACGCCTGTACTTCTATTTCCATTTTGAGTCCACATTATACACGGCTGATAAAGCCAGTGTACCGTGTCTTGCATCAGACCAGCTGAACTGCCCTTTGAAGTACTCCACTCAGTGATCAAGCAATTGTCCATTATGGCGAATGTACTGTTCAATTCTACTGATGACTAGTATCTGGCGATTAGGAAGAACAGTGATTGACCAATTCCTAATGCAATGAATATTTTCATTTCACTGGTTATTCTGGCCCAACTATTTTTGCAGCTTTTCTGAGTTGACCTGCAGATGTTAGCTTTCCGCGTATTCCATCCTGACCGGTTAGGATTCGATATTTCTTTTCGGCATCAAGACTAGTGAGTTCTGATATCGTCGAAACCTTGTACGGAATTTAGGCTCGAGTTCACTGCCGAAAGAATTGAACCTCTAATCAGATCCCACTGGTCAGTTGCTTCGTCGCGTTCCCGGTCTCCCCTAGCTCGATGACGCTTTGAAACAGGTACAGGCCTGGTTGATAAAGTCGGATTGTACGTGCGCGGACAAGAAATAAACCGACTAGGGTCAATCTTTTTGTGATTTGGTTCTCACGACTTGTTGTACAAACATACACATCGATTGCGCGTGCACACACATCGCAGACCTGAATCGCAACCGCTCAACTGACCACATGCACGCGTACAGATGGTAAAATGTGATCACGTTAGTGAGCGGAATTCGACCGGATGATGCGACATTCATAAAAATACGTTAATCCAGTTACACCACCAGTCGGTCGATCCACAGACAGACACGAATGCTTATGTGACAGTACACCGANCCCCGTGTTCAATCGTTTATCTACACCGGTGACAGTAGATGATTCGACTCGAATTCAATGCGGAAAAATCAAACGAAACTGGAAAAGCGGGACACTGGCACGCACAAGTATCTATTGTAAGTCTGACCAAAAACAAGAGCGAATTAGCGAACAGTGAGCGTAACGATCAGCCCAGAGACCAAGACAAATAGGATGTGAAAGGCGAGACAGCAGAAAAGTATGATTTGTCCTGTTGAGTTGGTATGATGTGCCTAAGTCTATTCTCAAACATACAGACACTTTGCCACAGATAATTTGTGAAACATACAAACAAATGTGTACGCTTGAGCACACCGCGCACGGGGGGGGGCTTATGGAGTGTAGGAATAGGAGAGGGGGACGGGGTGCAGACGTAGGTCATCAGTACAAAAATGGACAGCAATAAGGCGAGGTCAAACAAACACCTAGGTTCGTGCTCGATTGAAAGCGTTTGGAACGATTCGCTTCGATGAATGGATTTTTTATAGATCCGGAATGAAATACTGCAGTGTTCTTCAGGATGTGATTTATCCTTTGTCTTGTTAACACATACATTCGCGGCTTGGCGACTAATATGTTGAATCTGGTTCTCTGTCAGGCAATCAATAGTACTTTGCTTCCGTTTCTCAGAATCACTACACTTTGACCTTAATTCTAACATACTCGAGTACTATGGATATATTGTTTTCATCTCAAGATTCCACTGCCCGAATGGGTCTCTACGGATTAACTCCGACCATCACAAGGATCCCGTTTGTGAACTATCTGAACGACACAAACACCGATTTATGCTGGTGATTGGGCATTCAAGGTTGTACTAAAAAACATTCTCAATGACAGGCCTTTTATCTACACTGACTCGCACAGTTTGGAATAGAACTGTTTTGTTCGAATCTTATGATATCCAGCAGACATTCATTTGTTGCGCTCTAGTTATCTTTCCCGGTGTACCCAAAGGTGTTTATACGTCATGGATTGCATAAAAGGAACTCTCTCTCTCGGCAGACGATCTATCGTGTGATCTTCACCATACGGAATTCAATGAGATGTTTCCAATCAACAGTGTCTCACTAGTGTCACACGTAAATGTAATCATGATCTATCTACCACGCACATTCATATCCATCGACGCGAACCCAGACATATTCCGTATCGCATTAAATGTTTACCCCGTGATTCCCTGAGCCCATTTTTAGCTCACGTTTTGATCAACCAGCTGAATTTTGCAGAGGAATTTCGTGGCTAAGAGACTGATTACCTATTCTCATTCTTCTCTATTTATTTTCGTCTAATAGTCAATGACTTTTGTACGGGTCATGCATTTTACTGAAATAAAGCTTCAAAAGTTGAGATACAAACATTCAAAATGAAAAATTAAGAAAAAACTGTTAACTACGGAGAATATACATATATATATCATCGGTTTGCGAGCAAGCTTCGTGCCAACGCAAAAACAAGAGTAACAGAACACAGGGGGTCGGGATACATAACAGAGTAAAAGGAGGGTGAGGGACTTAACTTAAATGAGAAGAATATCAATTGTTGGCTTGTTTCACCATACACTTTTTGATATCAGCCAGTTTCATATTACACATTGTGCTATAATGCGGAGCGTAACAGTAGTAAGGAACCGTTGTTTGGTTATCGGAATCAAACTTTGAACCCTGTCATTGATACTGAACCATATCGACGTGGTAAAACGGATTAAAAGGAATACAAGTAGATTTGAAACAACGACTACATTGCGCTGTGTCAAAACAAGGTAGAGGACTGAGCAATTAGAATAGGCCAAGATATTGCAAACTGTGGCGGGACGGTGGAATAATATAATTAATACCAAGGGCTTGGAACGATGCGAACAGCGAGTGAATGTAGCCGATCTGTGACATAACTTACCGGTAAGAAGAAAACTGAGCCACACAATGATCAGAATGTAGCCGAAATACAAGAACCCGGATGTGGCATCACGGAATTCCAGGCGAGAGACAAAATAGTGAATCGAATAGATGAACAGATAGAATGAAGTTCCCGCACCGCAATGGAACGCGCGCCACCACCAACGATAATCCTAGAGTGGTTGTGGATGAAGTAAAAATGCGATCGCAGTGAATGCAATGAGTAATGTGCACACAATAATATGAGGCTGAAATAATCGAATTTATTAGGCATATATATATATATATATGCATTTAGTGTACGACGAATGGGAGAAATAAAAAAGTGCATCCATTCAATAGGACCGCCGGATTCGCTGTAACTATGTGTTGAGGTCGAACGTGGCGAGTCGAGGTAAATCTTGTGTGAAAAACACATGCACCTGGTAACAGCTTATCAATTTTATAGCAATAACGCACAATATAAATGTCTGTTTCATGCAGTTACCTTCCTTAAGAAACCATAGAACAAGAATCATGCATGAGATCTGAACATCTTGTGAACGTACCTTCGTAACTTAAAATCAGATGCATGTGTGCGTGTGTGTGCGTCGTTAGTCCAAGTCGATGGTGTATACATACAGATATCACTAGGAGGACACGATAGACGTGATTAAACCGTCTTGAAGATAGGTCTCTTTGACCCCGTTAACCCACCCACCCCCCGACCTTGTCTAATTAGTCCTTGTTTTGAAACACGGTTAGCTCCATGAGGCATCTCGATTCGTAATCCGGCGGTTGAAAGCTAACGAGCGCGGTGTATAGAAACTTGACATGGACGAAAAAGAGTTGCCAGATCGTGATAAACATAGTGGTAGCAGCACATCACAGAAATACAGTAAAACAGTCGGGACGAAGACAAATGCTCTATGCGTCAATTATACGACCACACATAGTACAGGAGCACATCCTCAGATAGAGTTGCTTGTTATACTGCAATTCGTAGAACGAGGGTTAAATGTGAACATCTACTGGGTTAAGATCTGGCAAAAAGAACGGAACAATCATGTTTCGGTAAATTACTTTGTCTGAAAACGATGGGCAACAATACGGAATAATCCGGGTAACTGAACTTTTTCGAATTTACTCATGGATTACTTTGTGGTATTCATTCACGCACCGTGCCTTGTCCTCGCAATTTGCTTGCAGAATCCGTAAATTAACCATGGAATCAGATAGGCAACATACGCAAATAATTTCTATTTGATATTCAAGTGTTGAGAAACATTAACCCAAGTCAAATGGCTATTATAGCAACACTATCATTGAATGCCAAACATTTACTTGGACCAATGCACGATGTACTTCCGCGTAAAACTCGGTTCTGATATGATCAACAGCAGTTATTAAGAGGGTCTACCGGAGCCTCCGAAAGTCTTCCGGTATGGTCACGGGGATGAGTGTCTCGAGTTGCGGCTCGTCACCCATCCCTTGCACCTCGCGAAATGCTCCAATTAGACCAAGTGTCTTAAATAGCCTTTGCTCATGAAGCCCTACTCACTACCTTCTCGTGGCTGGGATGTATTCCCACCAAAGTGAGGGGACGAAAAGCCAATATCCAGGGTTATGACCGGGTTGGTGAACTACTGACAGTTAACTTAGGGGAGTTGGCTAAAAACCCTGATTCCAAACAAACCAAGAGATGTACAAACCACACACCCTTTCCTGGTTGGGGCAGTGGTCACCGACTTAATTCAGCAATAGAACGTTTGACTCCGTCCAAATTGCGGTTTTCCCACAGCGCTCGGCTGCCTTGTGGGTCAGGCTTTGGCTAGTCGAAGGCTCTGGTTGTGAACTCCCAGAGTAACCTATCCGCATCGTGCCCACGAGTAAATCACGGACATATTTCCTTTTTTATAAAGATCATTGTTCAATTGCAGCTAGGCTATTCGACGGGTTGAAACCTGTGTGATAGATACACGGTCGGTCAACACAGTTTGCGAATAGCATTCACGTTTAAATCAAACACATTTGGTGTGGATTACAATCATACAGCACAAGAAAAGTACCAGTACTGACGTTTAGAAGAAAGGCAACACATACACAAACAGTTAGACAAACACAGGGTGCACGGGCTTACCTCGGAACAAAGCTGGAAATAGCACAACAGAATTGCGGTCTCCGAGCACGTGATCACCAGCATGAGAAACACGAGGAACAGGAGACCGAACATGAAATAGAACTGTGTGCCCCAAAGACTGTTGAAAATGAAGAACAGTTGGATAAAGATACAACTGAACGGGAGCAAGCCACCCAAGAAGAAAGTGATCACCGGGCGGCTGTATGTGGTTAGGAACGGAATCTGTCTTGGAATCTGATTGGTACGTACGGGTACTTCGATGGCCTGGGTGTAGGTGTAATAGAGGGAGTGAACGAGATGGGAGAGAAAAATGAAATCGATTATACGCAAGTCAGACGAATGAACTACGGGGGGGGTCGTGCGATAGTAACATAAAAAGACAAAATCCAGGGAATGATTCAGCAATTGAGGCAGAGGTGAGGAAACCGAAATAGATTTGCAGATTAGTGTTTGCGAAACACGACCAGTTTATTATCATGAGCATTGAGAAATAACGGCTGGGAGCAGTGGTCGTAGGACACACACACACACACAACGCACCTATACTTCAGTTTGATTCGATTCAACACGATCAATGGCAATGGCTCCATGTCATGTTCGCTCGATCCATAGACACGAACACACAATGGGGATCGTGAGCTACTTGCGCACGAAATGCTTATGGTCTTTGCTTACAATCTACTGCCGAGGCATGCAACAGTAACATTAAATTGCATCGTGTCTTGGATCCATGGAAAGTGTGAGAGAAAGGATTTATGGTGTTCACTATCGAATACATTATAAAGGTCGGGTTGTTCGATTCAAGACATGAAGTGGATTATTGTGCTTTTCAAAAGAAAAGATCATACGGCAATACACTGCACGATTTATGTCCAGGACGATTTCGCTGCATCTCAACATGGTGCAAACTGCAAACAAAAACATCAGTTATATAGGAATTTAGCATGGCAACAAAGAAGAGTAAAATACAATGAAACAGAAAAAAACATAAAAGGGGGGAGGGGTTAAAAAGAATGTCACCAGGGTAAGGATAAACTAACATAAAGTTCTTTTTGTTGACACCAGGGGGGGGGGATTTCATCGACTCATAGCAATCGCTTCTGCAAGTCGTAGCAATCTTGCGATTCGTGACTTGTAGATAATCCGAAACGCCATGCTTCGGTCGATCTGGTGTTGCGTCATCAGAAGATGTCGAGCTATGGCTGATGACGGAGTCTTGTAGTTTCGACCGTTGTTT